GAGAAAACGGACTAGAGCTAACCGATGTAATTCAACGTTCATCAGCAGTTTTGTCAGTTGCCCTGGGTTTTTAAAGAGAAATAGGAGCGTTTTCTTCATGTCTGGGTGAAGTTCATTTGGACCGTTTCCAAGCTTGCCTGGGTGGTAGTGTGCAGGGGAACACAGGCTGCTTTTGGATAGCCCAGGGAGATTAAACCAAATAGCATTCTCCCCAGTAATTAGGGAAGGCCTGGTTTGTGCAGTGTTGAAGCAGTCTTGGAAATGATCACTCAGGCTTCCAAGTCCATTTTGATTCCCTGCCTTCATCTCTGACGCATAAAAATGAAACCCCGGGTTCCAGTTTACCGTGTGAGTGAGGATGTGCTCCATGTCAGGCTGGACTTTCTGACATAAGAAGGGCACTGTGTGTCTGACCGCATTTCCTGAGTTGAACTTGCGTAGGCTGGACTGTCAGGAGTGGTGGGTGGGTTGGTCACCTGACCTGGGGCGGGGCGGGGGGGGGGGCGCTCAAATCCCGAGAGGGGCCTGTTGTGCCAGGACCATGAGGAGTCTTTGTCTGGTTTCTACAAGTGAGCTGTGGCCCCGCACCCAGAACCTCACCAGAGAGATCTCTTCTGCCTCCTCTGTACTCAGATATTTTTGGTCATGCATAATGTGGAGAATGTGAAACATCTTTTGTTTTCTTGAGTTCTTAAAGCTTTTCGGTGCTGTCCTTTTGGCCAGGTGGGAGTTTGGTGTGAAGTTGTTGGGAAGTGGGGAGATGCAAAGGACCAGAGGCAGGAATGGGGTGGTTGAAACCCAGAGGAGGGAGAGCTAGGACTTGTTCAAGTCCTGTTTTTCCTCTGGGTGGGTTCTAATCCACTGCTGCCAGGTTGAAATTTACCTGCACCTCAGGACCATCATTTGAGACCCATCCATCTCACTTTTCCTACTAATGTCTCTTCTGCCAGGTGAAGCTTCCCTTTCCACACCGCAAAATTGGAAGTTTTACTGTCATGCTGCTAGTTAACTTTTTAAAAAACGTTTTGAGGGTGCTGGGTGGCTCAGTTGGTTAAGTGTCTGATTGGATTTCGGCTCAGGTTATGATCTCACAGTCTGTGAGTTTGAGGCCTCCAAGTCAGACTCCATGCTGACAGCACAAAGCCTGCTTGGGATTCTCTCTCTCCCTCTCTCTGTGCCCCTCCCCCCAGTCAGTCTTGCATGCTCGCTCTCCCAAAAATAAATAATAAACCTAAAATAATAAAATTAAAAAATTTTTATTTTTAAATAATTGTAGATTCCCAGGCATTTGCAAAGATAGCAGAGGAGAGGTATCACAGTTTTCCCTAGTGGTTACATTGTCTAGAACTGCAGTGCTATCATGACCAGGAAGTAGATAGTGGTTGTGTGTGTGTGTGTGTGTGTGTGTGTGTGTGTTTAGATCCTCCAGCTATCCTGGAACTGTCCACCCCCACTTCCCCCACCTCCCACCTCGCTCCTGCTTCCTCTGCCGTTCCCAATCCCTGGCAGCCACAAATTTGTGTTCTATCTTTATAATTTTGTCACTTCAAGAATAGCCTATAAACGGAATCACATAGTGTGTGATCTTCTGAGATTGGCTTTTTTTTACTCAGTGTAATTTTTTTGAGCACTGTCCAGGTTGTTGCCGGAATCAAGTGTTCATTCCCTTTTACTGCCATGTCCTGTTTCCTGGTATGGGGGCCCCACAGCGTGTGACCATTTGTCTATTGAAGGACTTTGGTGCTGTTTCCAGCTCTAGGCTGTTATGAATAAAGCTGCTATGAACATTCTTGCACAAGTTTCTGTGCAGATGTAAATTCTCATTTCTCTGATTTCAGTGCCCAGGAGTGAGATTGCTGGATTTTATGATAAAGGTTTAATTTTTTTTCAATGTTTATTCTTGAGCAAGAGGGAGATAGAGCATGAGCAGAGGAGGGTCAGAGAGGCAGACACAGAATCTGAAACAGGCTTCAGGCTCTGAACTGTCAGCACAGAGCCCAACATGGGGCTCGAACTCAAGAACTGTGAGATCATGACCTGAGCCGAAGTCAGACGCTTAACCAACTGAGCCACCCAGGCGCCCCAGGTTTAATTTTTTAAGAAACCAGAAAAGTTTTCCAGAGTGGGGGGTTATGCCATCTGACATCCCCACCAACAACGTGTGAGAGATTAAATACCTCTGTGCCCTCACTACCTTTTGGTGTTGTCACTGGTTTTATTGTTTGTTTGTTTCAGCTGTTTTCATAGTGTGTTGTGGTATCTTTTGTCTTAACTCACTTTGCCCTGATGGCTGGTGATTGCGAGCATCTTGTCTCTCACCTGCTTGTTTGCTGTCTGCATGTGCTTTCTGGCGAAACATGTCACCATGCCTTCTGCCCACTTGCTAACTGGATTGTTTTTCCAACTGTTGAGCTTTGAGTGTTCTTTATAAATTCTAGATAGGAGTCCTTTGCCTCCTGGTCCACACAGCGTCTTTTCAGCCTCTTAAGAGAGTTTTTTGCAGAGCACAATTTTGATTTTGATGAAGTCCAGTTTCTTGATGTTTTCTTTTACAAATTATGCATTTTGTCATCTAAGAACTATCCACCAAGCTGTAGATCCTGAAGATTTTCTCCTATGCTCTAGTTTTATGTTTTGAGTTTATTCTGTATAAAATGTGAGGGTGAAGGTCAGGGTTCTTTTTTCCGTTGCCTGTGGATGTCTCATTGCTCCAGCATCATTTGTTGAAAAGACTGTTCTTCCCCTCTGTAATTGAATGTTTATAAAAATCAATGGGCCATACTTATATGGGACCATCTCTGGGTTGTTGCTGATGTTCAGTTGATTTATGTTTCTGTTCCTGTTCCTTCATCAATACCACACAGTCTTGATTACCACAGCTATATAGTAAGGGTTGAAATTGAGTAGGATGACTCTTTTCACTTAGTTTTTCTTTTTCTAAATTGTTGCAGCTAATCTAGTACCTTTCCAAAAATTTTAGGGTAGATACACACACACACACACACACACACACACACACACACATACAGAGCACTCATCATATCCAAATTCATACCCATAAAAGATCTTGCTGAGATTTATAGAAATTGTGTTAGACTTGTATATCAATTTAGAGAGAATTAATATTTACTATTTTGAAATTTCCAATCCATGAATATGGTATTCCCCTCCATTTACTAGGTTTACTTTGGTTTCTTTCAACAACATTTTGTTGTTTTCAACATACAAGTCCCATACATGTTTTATATGACTTCTGCTTTCTTAGCGATTGTTAATTTTGCATTTTAAATTATAATTTCCACATGTTTATTACTAATAAGTAGAAAGACAGCCAACTTCTGTGGGTTAATTTTACACTGAGCGACCTTGCTGAGTGAATTCATGGGGAAGTGTTTTTTTGGTAGAGTCCTTGGAATTTTTCACATAGACCATCATTTCATTTCATCTGCAAATAGACTTAGTTTTATTTTTTTCCTCTCGCTGATCTTTATACCTCATATGTCTTTATCTTACCATTATTGGCTAGAACTACCAGTTCTGTATTGATTGCCACCACTGAAAGTGGGCAGCCTTATCTTGTTCCCAATTTTAGAGGAAAGGATTCTGTCTTTCACTGTTAATTATGACATTAGCTGTTGGTTTTTGTGAGTCTTCTTGAAGTTGAGGAAGTTATCTATTCCTAGTTTTCTGAGCATTTTTATGGTGAGTGGGTATTAATTGTTTTAATTCATAGGTGTGTTTCCCTAGCTAGATTCTGAGTTTGTGCAGATCGGACTCTGCTTCATAAACCTTTTGTTTACCCACAGTGCCTATAAGCATTGAACATGTGTTTGTGGATCAGTAGAAATGGGCCTGGTTATGGATGGCAGATGAGTATGAGCCCCAAGGATGGAACTTATAGAAACATCTCTCACCAGACAGTCCTGCTCTAGGCCTGGGGGGCAAACTGCAGCTACTCTTTATGGTCCCCGTTACCATTCTGCTCAGTGGTTCAAGGCAGAAATGAAAGTTGTAGGCACCAAACATGCTGTAACAGGGATACAAGGAAGGCACAATCGATGAGTCCACTCTGACCCATGTTGGAAGTGAAACTTCTTAGGGTAACTGCCAACTGAGAACCACTGAGCTATACGGATTAACTGGGGGAATTGTATGTTATGTGACTTCTATCCACTAAAGCTGTTTTGTTTTGTTTTGTTGTTGTTGTTTTTTTAAAAGCAAGTGCCCAGTGGCAGTGAGGTCCTGGTGTTCTCTGTGTGGGGGGACATGTTACTGCCCCCTGTCATTCTGGGTCCCACCAGACCACTCTGAGTCCGTGAAGGCTTTTCCAGACAGGCCCCCTGCTGGTCTTTGCCCACCGCAAGATTCACAGTGCAGAGCGCTCCGTGGGCCCCCTCAGAAGAACCCAGAGACTTGCTTCGATACGGTGTGGCTAATAGGGAAGTGCTAGCATAAGAATGACAAACTGGACCTCCATACTGCCCAGTGGGGCTATGTTCCCCAGGCTGGATGCCTACTTGAGTTGAGGCCGCTTCTCCATCCCCTTTCTTACCTGGCTGTGAGGTAGAAAGGTGGCCAGGAATCTCACTCTATTTTTAACAGTGAAGTACTCAGCCAAGTAATGAAAACCAGCGTCTCATCATCACTAACAGTGGCGGTGTCAAATCTAGGACACGCCCACTGGCCCTCTTTTGGGGGGCAGGCCACTCGACTTGTGGTTTGGTCCTGTCTCGTAATGACTGGCCACCTGTTGGTGTCTCGCCCACACATGTTAGGCTTTCAGGCCATCGTGTCCTCCTGTCATTGAGAAGCTGCCAGGTTTCGGCAAGTTGAACCACGGGTGTCCGGACCAAATAAAGTAGGAGACAGACCCTGGTTGACAGCCTGTGAGTTTGCTGCCAGATGAAGGGCGGATGACGGTCGATGGCCTTGCTGAGGCTCTCTGTCGTGATGCGGCCTTGGGAGCATAATTAACCCTTTCTGTCTCTCTTATCTCCTAGGGCTCCAGGGTCCTGGTTGATGCACGAGACAAGCTGGGCATCCCGTGGCAGTTTTCGGAAAATGAGAAGCACGGAATGCTCCTCCTGGCCTTTGAGAACAAGGCGGGGCTGCCCGTGGAGCCTGCCACCTTCCAGCTGTACGTCCCTGCTCTGCGCGCTCTCTGGAGGGACTCTGGCATCAGGGAGGCTTTCAGCCGCAGGAGCGAGTTCCAGTTGGTGAGTGCACCTCTCCCAGGCTGCACGATCGTGTGGCACCTAGCTGGGTTTGACCCTCAGGAGGAGTTCCCTAAAAACTGTCAAAGTACAGGCAGGCTGCAAGTTGCTGTAAATCCTAATATTCAACACCACCAATCAAAAACACACCCTGGAGGCAAATGAAGTTATCTAAGTGGTTCAGCAGGGGCAAAATTGATTCAGTCTGGCTAAGTAAGTGTTGTCTTCAAGAAGTACAAAGGAATCTTAAAATCCTGAAGTTCGCTGTAACTCATGGAGCTTAAGATGTTTCGGTGGTGGTGGTGGTAAATTAGCATCTCCTTCAAACTGCTTTCTGGCTTGTCCTGTGCAGCTCTTGGCTGGCGGGTCATGACTGGTTCCTTCCAGATCAACTGGTTGGGAGCTAATCTGAACTGTCCACTTGCTTTCTTTGGGTTGTTGCCTTCTGTTTTAATGTCCGAAAGTTTCAAAATATGCCTGGTGTCTTTGGCGTTCAGATTAAGACATGTATGTTTAGATTTTGGCTTTTTCACCATAGACGGAGCTCTAGGTCGCCCCTGTAGCGGGAGTAGCTGCGTCCGCCTGCCTGCCCACACGCGGGGGCCAGAAGCACCGGTGACTCTCGTGCCCTTGCCGCCTCCCCCCTCCCCCGTGATCTGGGACCCTGGATTTTGAACCACCAGTCCCTCCCTTTCTTGTAAACAGTATGTACTTGTAAACAGTTGTGTCTGTTTTCAAACTCTGTATAAGTGGTTTCACACCAAATACATTCTTCTGTAACTTGCGATTTGGGAATTCACTCATGTTGCTGGCGTGGCCGTGGTCCTTCATTTTCCCTGCAGCCATCTGTCCACTGTGGGACTGAACAGGACCCGGCCGTTCTCTCACGGGTGTGCGTCGGAGTTTCTTTCCGTGCTTCGCCATCGCACACAGAACTGCTGTGGTCTCTGGCATGTGTCTCCAGACGCACGTGTTCAGGGGTTTCCTTGGGTGTGGGGAGGGTTGCCCAGGCAGCGGGCGCATGCACTTCCAAATAGACCAGATGCAGCAGGCCGTTTGCCCAGGCAGTGGTGCCTATGATGTGTCTCCCAGCTGCAAGGGGTCCCTGTTAGCCCTCATCCTTGCTGATACCATGTTACCCGACTTTGAAACTCGTACCAGGAGCTCCTTGTGGTATAATTGACATTTCTCTGATTATGTTTATCGGCTCTGTGTGTTTTCTGGGATACGCCTATTCGTGCTTTTTTGCCAATTTCTTTCTAACGAGTTCTTTGTATTTCTCTCATGTGTTTGAACGGTCCTGATGTGGCCTGCCTGGTACTTTTTTCCATTCAGTTCCATATGCCCCTATGGCTGGTCCAGCCATAGCCATAGCACAGCTGTCAGGACCCAGACACTCGTGTTGGTTCCATAATGTGAATGAGACTACAGACCTTATTCTGATTCCATGGTTTTCCCACTGGGGACTTTGCTGTGTGCCAGCACCTGGCTCGGGGCCCCGCATTGCCCTCATCTGCAGCCAGTGATGGTCCTCCAACTTCCCTTGGTCTCTCTGACCTTGGCAGTGGTAAGAGCGCCCATCAGTTATTTTGTGGAATGCCCCTACTTGGGTTTGTCTGCTATTTCCTCCTTGTCAGGATGAGATTATGTGTTTTTTGGCAAGAAAACTGCAGAAGTGACGGAGTGCCCACTGATGGTGACACAAGCCTTCATGGCTCAGTGAAGGCCGTGTCTGCTGGGTTTCTCTGCTGTCACATCGTCAGTACTATCAAATATTCAGGGAGTGAAGTGATGTCGATGTCCTGTTACCACTCGAGCTTTTGCCCACTCGCCTTAATACCCATCAGTGGGTCCTACAGCGGACATTTCTCACCTTGACATTCTTGTTCAAGTTAACTTCAAAAGTGAAGGTGGAACAGTCTAAAGAACCGGAAGATGGCGTTGTCGCAGAAGGAAACCTTAATCTTCTAAAGGGCAGGAATATCAGGAACAACTAGGGAAGACCATATCTACGTGTAACATTGTGGTTTAAGTCTTTGTCCCTATAAAGAAGGCAGAAATCGCTACTGTCAGTTGAGAGTTTGCCAGAGAGGCAGCCGTAGGCATCCACAGCTGATTACTTACAGCTCATGTTTGGTAAGCCTTCCGTCCGGAAGGGTGGTGTGGGGGGGCTGGTTTGGCCAGACTCCTGTCTGCCTTGTTCCATGGGGGCAATGATGTTGAGCTAGAGGGGCCTCCCAGCTGAGGAAGTCAAGGCCTTGGGCTGCTGGGAAGGACACGGAGGCGAGCCTCAGAGCGCGTGGCTCACCCGGCCGGTCTTCATGGTCACTGCTGCGAGGAACTTGGGCCTCAGAAGCCAGGCTGCTCATCTCTCACTCTGTTCATTCATTCATCACTTAGGGGGCACCTTCTGTGTACTGGACACCGTGTGAGAGGCTGGGGATACAGCTGTCATGAGACCGACCGAGGCCCCATGATCTGGCCCTCACCTCGGCGTGGGGTCAGGGAAAGCTGGGGCAGGGTGGGTGCTGCTCTCTGTCTCTGCCTCATCTTCCCAGCAGCCAGGCTCCCTGGAGACATGGTGCCTGAGAGGTGTGCTCTTCAGAGCGCTTGTGTCTGCTCCACGGCCGCCTGACCGGGGGCAGCAGTCCCTGGGTTTGGTTTACCAGGTAGTAGGTACGTGTGGTTTTTCTTCTCTTTGTTTGTTTGTTTATTTCTGAGAGGGAGACAGGGCATGAGCAGGGGTGGGGGGACAGAGAGAAGATCCAAGGCAGGCTGTGTGCTAATGGCACGGAGCTCCATTCAGGGCTCACACTCATGAACCATGAGGTCGTGACCTGAGCCAAAACCAGTTTCTCAACCAACTGAGCCACTCAGGCGCCCCAGGTGTTTGTTTGCTTGGTTGTTTTTCAAAAAATTTTAACACTTATTTGAAAGAGAGAGAGAGCGAGCATGAGTGAACATTGGAGAAGGGGCAGAGAGAGGGAGACAGAGGATCCAAAGCAGGCCCCAAACTGTGAACACAAAGCCCAACATGGGGCTCGAACCCATAAACCATGAGATCATGACCTGAGCTGAAATCAAGAATCTGCTGCTTAACCAACTGACCTGCCCGGTGCCCCCATATTGGTTATTCTTATACTTTGTACTTTTCTTTGTGTTTTTTTATAAAAATTAGTGGGGTGCCCAGCTAGTTTAGTTGGGTGAGCGTCCGAGCCTTGATTTCACCTCTGGTCATGATCCCATCGTCATGGGGTCGAGCACTGCATTGGGCTCCACACCGAACTTGGGATTTTCTCCCCCCACCTCTAAAATTAAAAAACAACAAAGTAATCAGAGCATCTTCCTGAAATGAGCGGACAGTAGGCCTTCATGGTCATTATTGCCAATGCGTGCAGTCAGGGCCTACCATGAGGAGCAAAAGCTGCTCCGTGCGCATGGCCAGCCCGTCCCCCACCATCTGCGCTCCCACCTTGTCCCCCTCTCCTCTGGGGACCTTTCTTAGTGTCACAGCCTTTCCAGGGTGACACTTCATCAACTTGGCGTTCTTTTCTCTTCTCTTCTCTTCTTTTTTTTCTCTTCTTTTCTTTTTTTTCTCTTCTTTTCTTTTCTTTTGTTGTCTTTTCTTTACTTTGAGAACTACTGTCCCCCAGGTGTTAGACTGTTCCTGTCCCCTCTGCCCTCCAGTCCAGGCAGAGGCAGACACAGAGGAGGAAGGAGAAAGGCCAAGTCTGGTGACTGCCATGTGAGAGCCCTTCCTCCTTGGGGGAGAGCAGGGTGGGCATGCAGCCCGGGTCTCTTCCCGCTCCAAAGAGGAAACCACCTGGCCCTTCTTTGTGGTCCCTGAGATCGACTGCCAGTCAGACACGGAACCTCATAACCTCTGCAGCTCAAAAACAAAGTGCATAACGGCGCTATAGTAGCTCTTATCTTTCAAAACGCATGTAAGTAAGACGTGGCAAGGCAAACCGATAGGTTTTCCTCATAGGTGTAACAAATATAAATATCATCTATACCTATGAGCTTTCTCTAACTAAAGAGAATTTTGGATTTTTAAGTGATTTTGCAAATTATGCACTAATTAATGTGTTTGTAATACAGAATATGGATAATGAATTCACAATTTATTTCCTTTCCATTGCATCTTTGAATTTAGGGTCTCGTTCGTTAGAACAGTACAGCAAAGGTGCACACATTGTCTCCTGTGTGTAAGTTCCGCCCTGACAGTACCCGTGAGTTTGCACATCGTGGTCCTTGCTAGGCCACGTGGCAGGCTCATCCTCCATCAGCCCCTCAGCCTTCTGGGCACTGTGCTGAGGTCGAGTCCTCTATCTGTTCTGAACGCTGATGATACAGACACATACACGAACAAATAATTGCAATTAAGTGTGCCAAGAAATAAAACTGAGGAAGATATAGGCTTCATTAGGCCTAAGGGAGGAAGTCTGCAATTCTAGCCTGGCCGGCAGGGGTGAGGGGAGGTGTTGATGGAGGAGATTTGTAAAGATGGGCCTTGGGTGGGGGGGGCATTCAGCAGACATGCTGGACTGTGAGGCGCCGGGGAGCATCTCGGTGCCTTCCTTGGCATTGCCCTCTCTCCTGCTCGGGCTCTTAGCTTCCCCTGAGGTTACCAGGCTGTGGCTGCAGAACAGGGTCTCGCCAGCATAGCCACCGTGGGAGCAGGGATGAGACCCGGCTGGGGTGGGGGGGGTCCGTGCAGGCGCCAGTCTGTCCACCCCATCCCAGCCCTGACAAGGGGCAGTCTTGAGCAGGCAGGACCCCACAAGTCACAGAGCCAGTGCCGTCTTCTCCTGCACGACGCTTTGCTCCTTATGTAGTCCATCTCGTCCTCATCACTGCCTCCCCCTGCCCCGTACCCGTGCTGTGTGAGCAGCCAGGGACCCCACCAGGTCCCCAGCTGCCTGACTTAATGGAGCCGGCCGCTGCCTTCCGCGGTGCGCTCGAGATGGTGGCCGATCGGCTCCTGGCACGACTTGGGGTAC